TCTCAATGTTAGAACTTTCTGAGTTGCAGTAATATTTCTGAGAAAAATGACTAATTTTCATAAGAACGCAAAATACGTCTCTGAAATCGAAAAATATGTTGATTAATATGTATATAATACATAATAACTTATAGGTGTATAAGACAAATCCATAACCCCGACACTAGGAACAAGAGAAATGAGGATGTTTGTTTGAAGTGCGGAATTAAATGCAATATTTACTAATTGTATTAATTTATTAATTCCCTAGAACTAATTTCTGTTCAATTCTCTTACCTTTAGGGCTAATTGTTTTTTGACTTTCTTTATACTAGTTTTTAATTTACCTAGTTTTTTAACCAAATTTTCCATAGCCACTTTTCATAATAATATGTTTGGAAGGCGAAACTTTCTGCAATTTGCAATGAAGGAATGAGCGTTCTCTCTAGAGGAGCTACTTGTTGAACATTTTTTTCCATTAAGATGTTTCCGGTGCGATATTTAGTACCTCAAAGTTATATTTAGAGTCACATTTCGTAATTGCGACTTTATAGGTTTAACCTCTATTAAAAATGTAAATAAAGACCTTAAAGAACAAAAACGCCAAACTACTTATAGAATTCTACAAAGGAAGCCGATCGCTGTAATACCGCATAACATTTTTGCCTAAAAATTTTATGGAATTTCGACATATTTTGCCGTAAAAATGCATCATCCAAAACATTGACGAACTGCCAGCGGCCACGTTGGTTGTTGGAAGCCGCAAGGCCTTATGGGTCGAGCAATTAGAGCTGCCATTGGCTAAAAACGAAATTATAAATAACGCGCATGCGCATATTGAACGGACTTTCTCAAAATTTGGTTACATGTTCGTTTCACGAGTTCCTGAATTATTAGTCTACCTGTCTAGTAGCTATATGTGTTAAGTTATGTTCAATTTGTAGGACCATCGATTAAAAAACTTGATATCGTCGCCTTTTCTCGACTTACAAATGGCGAAACATAATCTTACGATCGGACAAAAGATCTGGGAACTAGACCCGTAAACAACGAGTGTTTAAAACCGATGACTCGGAGAATTGCCCAAGTAGCGCTCGCGGGTTTAGTGGGACAGGAAAGTACCACAATTATTTCGTAACCATTAGCAAAGACCGGCGGAGAACATTGTTGTCTGCGATGGGAAATTATTAGGGGTTTTTCGTTTTATTCGCCCGCATTGATTGGCGGAGAAAGGACGGAGAGAACGTATATATAAATATATATACACGAAACTCTTTCGGCGGTCATCCGGAAACTGTATTTTGATCAACGGGCGTGTTTCGGCGAGTTCAACATGCAAATTCGCCATTTTCTCACCTTTAACTGTACCTAATATAAACACTATTTCATTTCGATTCACGTAAACACCCATAAGACGTAACGTAATCGCCCGTACGATGGGCAAAAATTTCACCGGCCGTGGGGCCGTTATACTTGGGGGCCTGCGTGTGGCTAAGTATACGACGGACGCGCGGGCAGTTAGTAGAACGTGCGAAATTGTTGCACGCGGTGAAAGGAACACTCGGTATTTTACTTGCGGAAGAATGGTCTATAGGTACTCCTCCACGGACGAATACTATACAACCCCAATATTACTAACCAGAACTAACACCAGAACCTGAGCAGTCGCAGTCCTTGTCAAAAGAAACCTTTAACGTTACAAACCTCAGCGTCTGACATGACATCGACTACTCTAATTTAAGATCGAGGAAATCAATGCGACACACCCTGTATATGACTCAAACAATGTTCGAAGTAAAGGTTATAACTCTGGATCTTCCACGTTTCCTGGTCCAAGAATTTTTTGAAAATAGTAATTGGTTTTCGAGAAAATAAGTTTTTTCTGAAACCATGCAGTGTGCCATAATAATCAATGACGTCATCGCGTCTTGACAGCCCCCGAAATAACGATTTCAATATGGATTTTTTCAAATATCCCGAGCAGCTTATGCGATAGACGAAAACCGCAAATACAAAAATTGTAGCTCTTGACGCGGCCTATGACACTGTTTGAACCAATTAGCCATATTTTTTACGATTTTTGATTTGCGGCTAATAATTTACTCTGTAAAAGAACAATTTTCTAGGTGTTTTAGATTTTTACCTATAATTTGAAGACCCTGTATATAATCGAAAAAATGCCTGAAATAAGTGTTATTGCACTGGATCTTTCGCGTCTGCTGGTTAAATAATTTTGACGATCGGGTGAACGATTATGGAAAAAAACATATTTTTCTGGAAGCTAAAATTAAAAAAAAAAATCAAACATTTTTAAAAAATACTAGGTACAATTTGATTGCGCCCAATTTCTACCGTTTAAATGTGGCCATGGATTTTTACTTCTCTGCAAAATTTGAAGTTGATATCTGAAAATTTAGGACACTTAACACATTTCTCATTTAGCACGGAATATCGGGAATACCCTGTACCCCTGTGAAAACCTTAAACACAAAAGTTTTTACTGTCTATGCAAGCTATATCGCAATATAAAAGAAAGTGAGATCTGAATCATAGTCTTTCAGTTATAACCAATTTTCAACAATAGGGGGACCCATTTTTCAAGGTTGAATTTGCGGCGCACCCTGTATATTTTTGAAAAACTGTCAAGAATAAAAGTGTATAGAGGAGAGTTACAAAGGAGGTAAATTTCAATTTTGTAGCTCCAACGGTTCGAAAGTTATTCAGGAAAAACCAAAAGACGAGAACGGAGAACGGACAGACAAAAAAAAATTTTTTTCGACTGTGATCATTTCTGTACCATCGGCGATCCCATAGAACCTACCGTTCCCTAGACATAAAATTTTTATACGAGCGCGGATACTTTGGAAAAATTCGATTTCATCGATTTTCGAAAGTAACAAGGAATAAAACTCAAACGCCTTACCAACTTAAAAATGCGTTTTTTATCCCAGACCACATAACCATAAAAGTGCGTATATTGTTAGCGCATCCGCCACGTTGTCATCAACGATTTCTAACCTTCCCAGTGTCGTAGATAAAATTCGTTTGTTTTTCTCACGAAAATAGATGGCCCGAGCGATAGTAGGCTCTCCTCCACTCCCCCGTGTGATCCACGAGGTTTGTGCATTCACCGTTGATGACTCAATGACATGTAATGGCTTGTTCAGAACATTAATTTTGCCGCCGTGAGAGAGAATGGAAGACGACAAGACGTCAGATTTAATCGACGTACGTGCCCGTCATATCTAAACGGACGGACAAAGGAGGACTTTTACGCTGGCAATAAATTCACCGCATAATACCGTGCGCGCACGTTTCGGCATTTGATTTTTGCAAAGTTTCGAGGAACGCCAACGGTACCGCGCTAGCGCTGTCAACGCAGCGCACCATCAAAACATCAAAAATATCCTCCGTCACGTGTTGCTGACAATAAGCACAGTTTAAACATTGGACACAAACCTTTGCCCATTGCCGACATTTTTTTTTAATTTCATCATTTTCACTATTCAAATTATATATGCAAAACTGTCACACACTACACCAGTTTTCTCTTAGATTAAACAACTCGATGTGGGAAATGACTGCCAGTCAACAAGACTAATGTAAACGTAAAACTAATATTAAACAGTAGTACTTGCTCACGATGTTAACAATAATCTTCACCAAATATGTTCGCCCAATTTTACTATTTGAATAGAAATTACACATGCGTCTACAAAAATCTGAAGACTTGGGTGAATAGAATTTTGTGATCAACGTTTCATGCCATTTCATAGTCCATGGTAACAAGACCCAACAGAATAACAGAAACTAACCAAATTCTTGCTTATTTCTAGGTAATCATAATGCTGAACTAACTGAAACTAACAATATCGGACCAGGGTCAAACAACTAACACCTTCTGTAAACTAGACAACTGTGGCAAATGTGAAAAGCATATGAATTTGTAATAGTTTTTATATATTGAGCAGGATACAGGGCGTATATTGACAAAAGCAAGTTCTGAACGTTACCCGCCGCAGGCGTCACATGCAAGAAGAAATTTTTACTTTGAGATAGTTATCTTTCAGTCATATTAATTGCCACTTGTCAAGAGAAAATCACCATTGTCAACACTTCTATTTCAGTGTAGAAATAGCGGAAGGGCCAAAAGTCAACAAGCGCGGGAATAACAATTGATTGTTTGGTGTCATTTATGTTCCTTAAGCAAATTAGCCAGCGCAAGCATGTACACGTAAAATAGGGTCTGATATCGCTAAAAATGGAGGTATTTACCTGCCAAATCAAAATCGGTGATATGTGTTCTGCGAGATCTATAATTATTATCCAAAGCATATCGTTTATTCTTATTATTAATAAATGAAAGAAATATTGAATGTTGAAAATCACAAAAAACACACTAATGGGGATTTAATGATATATACATAATCAAAGGAGATAGCATTGTTTTCGTTTTAACATGATGCAAATATTTGGGTGGTGTGAGACATTATTGCAACTGCTTAGATAGTATTCAAAGGCACAGGTGAATTTACCTTAACAAAATACTGTGCTAATATTTCCTTAAATATTACCCCTAAAACAAACATTTCTTTTTTTTACAATAGCAATATGGTTTTTCAGAATGTTTCTTTTTGAATTTGATAATGTTACAAGGAATAAAGGGTTACACCAATGTAGGAGAATTTTTAACCTCGATTGAACTGTCTGCTTTAGCTTATTTTTTGTGAGAAAAGTGACTTTTTGAATGTGGAATTATGTTTTTAGATATTGCTATTAGCCTAATAGTTTGCAAAGAACTTGGGTTTGTCCATTTCTTAATTTTTTGAATTTGACCATTCATGAAATTCTTAATACTGTTACATTATAATCCCAAATTCCAATGATTTATTGCCCCACTGGGGCATTATTTTCTCCCACCTTCCCTGGTGTGAGATTTAATTTTTGAGTTTTGCAAACCCAACCATCATTTGGATAACTCGGTGCAACTTAAATATAACTCAAAGTGTTCACTCCCTTACCTTGTAAATTGTCCAGCATGAAGGTGAGCAGCTTCTGTGTCCCGTTAGGTTCACTATATATGGCCATAATGTCTTTATTGAGGGGATTGCCGACGAGCCCCAAAATCATTAAGTTAAACAGCTTGCCGAGTTCATAGGGGAGTATTCGCAAATGATTATGACTTAGATGTAACTCTCTAAAAAAAAAAAAAGCGTAAATTAGCTACCCTTTCAGCATATTTCTCCTGAAATAAAATGTTGGTCACACTTACAGGAAATTGTGGAAGTCAGGATAAAAATATGAGGTATAATGGGGATACATCTGGAAGGGATCAAAGTAGAGCACTTCATAAAAAGCCCAACACCTAAAATGCATTCAGAAATTTTTAGATCTATTCAAATAGACACACTTTTGTCTCCCATTGTTCTTGGCAAGTTTTAACCGCAATTTACTTACCTTAAATGAATAAGTTCGCCTAATTCCGCTGGCAGTGATCGTAACTTGTTATAACTCAGATCTAGGTTATGCAAGTTGACCAGGTGGCATATATCGGGAGGCAATCGATGCAAAGAGTTATTCTTTAAGTGTAGAGCTGTCAAGTGGCTCATTTGAAACAGATTGGGACTTAAATTCCTGATAGTCCCTGTTATCTCAAGTTCGGCCCAGGTCGACTTTCTAATGTTTGCTTGGTCTTCCAGCGGCACGAGTGTTTGACTCTTTTTGTTTGCCTCTGAATGCGCCGTGGCTGGGTCATACTTCTCTTTAAGGTTTCGGGGCATAATATATCCTAAAAGGCAAGTGAAGTCATTAGTACATTGCAAAGGGATAACATTCAGCTGAACAAAGGACTCTGATGCTTTTGAGGTTACTGCATATTATGATCTTACTCCTAACTAAGGGGCAGATTTTGTTTTGATCGGTATACTGGCGGATATACGAACTCTAATATGCAACAAAGTATCCAAAAGTTTGATTTTAAATGTTTAATTTAGAGTTCAAAGAACTCTACCTGACCCCATAAACATCACGCGAACATTCAGGCTATCTTAAGCCGAAAATATTCTTTACACTAGCCAACACTGCACGGCAAAGCAATCGAAAAATAATATCCTTAGTAAATTATTATGAAGATTCAAGTTTTGTTTACCACTTATGTGACGCAGATATTTGGCAGATACAAGCATCAAAATCCTTTTGTCCAACTGTTGGCGGATAATAAAAAATTACGACCGGGAACCAACCCTCGGCCTATATTTACCTTCATCTACTTCTCGAAGGGTGAAAATAACACTGATATATACAAATAAAACCACTCCGAGGCTTTTGCAAAACACAACACCGAACTCGCGACGAAAACTTCAACGCAAGCTGACCAACCGCGTTTGACATTTTAGTTGCTTCCAAATTCCCCTGAATAAATATTTGATTTTTTAGACGCTATGCGCATGAAAAGTAAAAGATCCAGCTGAACCAAAAATATTTCTTTAATAATTTTTACAAAAATAAATAACTGAAGTGAAAATGAAATAAAAATATGAGATCATGACGTCTAAAAAGTTTGAAAGGGGATTAAAATGCACTATCCTGATGAATCTTTACATTTATGTTTTTTTAATCCTCTTCGGGTGAGAAATGTTTTGGAACATGTGCAACAATTAAAGAAAATGCTCCTCTGGTGGGTATTCATGTGTTCCTTTAAGTTATCTGATCTTGCAAAGGTCTTTGGACAATTCCCGCAGTGATAGGGGTGAACCCCTGTATGAATCCTAACATGGGTCTCTAATTGGTAACTAAAACACAAAGTGGGTTATATAATCATATTAAATAATATTTCTTACCGCATTGCAAATGTTTTATTGCAATATGTACAATGGTGGCGTTTGATTTTACAATGCACCCTTTTTAAATGGTCACTCAAATTCCTATTGCTCTTGAAAATTTTTGAACAATACTCGCATATGTGAACTTCATTGGAATGTGTTGACATGTGTATGTAAAGAGCTGCTGAAGTTCTTGTAGCATATTGACACTTCCCGCATTTGTAATCTTTGTTGTCTTTGTGAGTTTTTAAGTGCATACTTAAGGAGCTCTTTGTGGAGAACACCTTAGCACATACTTCGCAGACATGATTCTTCATTTTTGTATGGATGGATGCCATATGATCATTCAACATTGCGCGGGAGTTAAAACATTGTAGACACACCAGACACTTAAATTTTTCACTGTGCTTGTTTAAATGGGCCCGCATACTCTGTTGGTGCAGCTCAAGGCCGCAATGTTTACATGGGATTTTATGAGACTTTTCATGATATATTAATTGTTTTTTGCTGCTAAACACCTGCAAATTACTTATGGACTAAAATCTTGACTCCCATAAAATGTTTTATAAATACCACTTGGCATTTAACACAGTTAAAAATAGGTTGTCCCTCATGTTTATCCTGATGGTCCAGATAATCCATATAATAAACAAAATTTTTATCACAGAAATCGCATTTATAACATGCTTGAATTTTATCCTTAAAATTATCGACCTAAAATTTTTTGTTGTATTAAAAAAGATTCAAATAAATAGACACTTACTTGATTGTAATTATCATTCTCCAAATCGGGAATGCTTCCTTCATCACAAATTTTAGAAACGTTTGTTAAATTACTACAATCTGTGGTTTCCAGACCATATTTTAATCTTTTTTTCAAAACTTGTGCAGAAATTAAACACATCTCTTTAAATTCGAACCAACCATTCACTTTGTTAAGGCACGTTTCGCAAACTGATTTTGTATAACAATCCTCTTCGGTTATCTAAAATATTTAATTTACTAAATCATCCCCAATCAAGTTTTTTTACTTACTTCAATGGAGACGCATTCTTTAATTTTATAAAACATCTCTGGATTTGTGCTTAATGTAACAGAATTTTGAACAATCTCAGATAAACATAATCGACATAAATCGTTCATGTCCATGTACAGCTTATTCCGGAAGTGATTTTCGAAATTTCCAAAATAAAATTCCAAATGTAAACAAAAATATAAATCTTTGAAATCGGAGAAATCACAGAATAATGGTAACACGCCACCGACCAGAAAACATATACGTTTTCCGTCAGATACGAAAAATCACGTTAATCCCATTTTAACTGAAGTTAAAAGTTAATTCAATTGTTTGTTTACAAGGGATACTAAATGATATATCTATTTATGCAAAATTTGAAAATTAAAGTTAACATTTTTATCAAAGGTTTCCCTAGGGTCATTTTTTGTTCAGTGGTGGGTTTACTGATTTTAGGTTAAATTGGGATTAACCGTGTTTATTTTCATATGTGACGTGTGATGGTATAATTGTATAAAAATAATGAACCAACCATAACAAAGATCTGTTGCAAAACAATTTAAATATATTTTTGTGGCGTAATATATACATAATACAAATCTAGTATTAAATGGTGACTAGAAAGTTCGCACAGATTATTTAACGCGATGACGGAGCCTCACGGCGCTCAATATGCCCTCCAGATTGCAGTACATACTTTAAGAGAGAGATGCAAAGCTCTGCAACAACGGGTTGTTTTATTAGAAGAAGAAAATGTGGGTTTAAGAGTTCAGTGTAACAGATATGAGGATAAGGAACATTCACTGAATGAAGTTGACGAGTTAAGAGAGAGGGTATCACAATGCTTCGTAATTGATAGTAGCGCAAAAATTCAATACACATTTTTTAGTTGACGCAACTCACAGAACAAAAAGAACAGCTGAGTGAAAAGGTTAAGATGGTGACCAGTGAGAACCAAGGTTTGTGGAATAAACTCAGTAAAATTACAAAAGTTAATAGGAGTCTAGGTAGTCAATTAAATAAAATCAGCGATACGTTGGTGCAGCATGCAGGCGGTACCAATGCAACTCCGATCACCCTTATAAGATCCAAGACATTCACAAAAAATGAATTGCAGACAAAGGTTTTGCAAAAGAATTTAGAGGAAAACGACAAAATCAGTTTGGAACTAGAAGACATATCCTTGAAGTTGTCAGACAGTTTTTCTAAGCAAAAAAAAGAGCTTGACATGATGTGTAGAGACATGGAAGAGGCTCAGAGTTCTAATGATATTTTGAAAGAGAACTGTGGGTTTTTATATGATGATGAGCTTGAAGACGGCCTCATCGACGATGTAAAGAACGCTAGTGATGATCTAAAAATCATGAAAGATATTGTTTTAAGTCAGAGACTTGTTTTGATGAAAAATATTAAAACCATTACTGACCTAAAAGGTAAGGTGAATGATAATTTTTCCTCAGTCAGTTAAATTGACAACATTTGCAAAAAGTTTACTGATATTAGTTTTCCTCCATTAAATTTGGGTTTTCTTATAGAAAAATTACAATCTGAACCATGCCAGTCTAAATCAGAGCTGTGCGATAAATTCACTTCTACTGTGGATCTCGTCAAAAAACACTGCGAAGACAAAAGCACAGAAACGGAAAAAGTCATAGATAAGCCAGATACGTTGAAACCGGAGTACCACGCATCCAGCTTGGAAAAAATTTGCCCGTTGTGTTCGAAAAATTTTCAAAGAGAGGTTGACTTTAGTATATTCCAACAGCATGTGGAAGATCATTTCGTCCCCGACATGGAATCCTATGTATTATATTAATTAGGTTCGTCTAGGAATTAAGACAGTATTGTGATATCTACTATATATATGGAATGGTTTTGTGTTACTTGCAATTAAGTATTATTATAAGGCAAAAATTGTTGAACAACTGCAATAGTACTTTATTTAAATAAAAATGTATTATTTTAAATCGGGCGTGCTGGATCCTAAATAAACGCGCAAATCGTTGACGTTGGACTCGACTAATTTGACTCTAATAAATTCTGACTTTAATCGCTGGTGTGCGGCAAATCTATGGCAACCGCCGAAAGAGTAGTAGTAGTTGCCACCTTCTCTGCCGATAATCCAGAGAACATCTACTGGGGGTACTTGGTGTGATGTCTCGGGATTCGATAAGGTCTTCATTAACGACCTCACTTTCTTCTCGTCAAGTTCCGGCGGAATCGGGCGGATTATTGCCGCTAACGGCATCTCGTGGATTTCTTCTATAACCGACGAGTGTATACTAGCCATATTAGCAGATCCTACAATATGTATTTACAATGTCAAAGGTATGCTTCGACGTCTCGCTTACCTTTCGGTGTGCCGTGTGCTCATTAGAAGTAACCTCCGAGTGCATTAAACATCGTACGAAAGTGAATATCCGTTTATACTTTTAAATTAATAAAGATTTGCAAACAATTTCAAATTTGCATTACCGCAACGTCGACTTGGAAAAAAATCCTGATGATAATAACATGATCCGTAATAGTTATTGATGATTAAGTTTACAAATACGATTTTTTGGACACACTTGTATACCTACACGATTGAAGTTTGATCATTCAAAAGTAATAACGGATACTTACAATAATTTTACGTAGACACACTATATATGCACGTTCCCCTTAGATAATCTTGAACCTACGAAAACCGACGAATTTAATCCCTGTATTAATTTCTACCTTACCTACCTTTTTACTAAACTATTGTGGTGTCTAGGAAGTGCTAGTAATCACAATTATCTGCGAGCAAACCTCACTGTTATAATACGTGGATCAATAAACTAATTTTTTCCAGCCTAAATTGAAGGTATCAATCGCATTTAAGCCCAGCACGACACCTTAGCTGTAAAATATTTATTTTCACTCGTGTTGCCGTCGTCCTTGAAGATAAAAAATTAATGAAAACGAAGCAACACAATAAACCCGCCGCTTTGTTTTGTTGACTGCGCGACATTCTAATTCCTTAAGTTTTTCTTACTTTTTCTCGTCGATCCATTTCGTTGTCGCGTTGTAGTCGAAGGGTACAGGAATTAACGAATTTGAATAAAAATATTGATTGGGTCATTATATCTGGAAGGTATATGAACCAAATAACCTAAAAGAGAGTTGAGAGGAACCATTGCAAATGGCGGAAGTCGCTACTACCGGGTTCCATAAAAAGTGGAAATCAGTGCCGTTTGATCTAAAATAGTGTTTGGTATATTTGTTATCTGAAGTGATAGAGGCGCAGTGCCTATAAATTTGGGAAAGTGTTCGTCTTAAGCGGATTTGTGATGTTATTCCATTATGTGTAAACACGGTTTCCAGATGTCTTATATTGACGCTGGTAACCAGGCCAGACGGGATCGGATATCCCGTATGAGATAATTGCAGCGGCCGTTAGAAGAATCGGTCGTCATTTTATGACTATTTATTTAGAAGTTGTTCCACTGCATGAATATGTTAACAATCCTGGAGGATCCTTTCATTACAAAGGCATCCTTTAGGAACCTAACGCAGTCGTGGCCATTAGAAGTAAAGTAACTAACTAACCTTAAAAAAGACAACAAAATATATATTTTAAACAATGTGTTCAGAAATTTAAACAAAAATTCAATCGATAAAAATTTTATTGATCACAGTATGTACAAGTTTCTATATCTATTTTTATCCCATTGCAAAACACTAAAATGGGTTTTTATGGTTCACACCACGCAATTTTGTACTATAAAAAATGTGGTTTTTAATTCATGTAAGGCGAGACTGAAACAAATTCCATTGTAAAAATATAGGAACAAATTCAAAAAACGGCTGATTAGGTATAGAGTTTAAGAATTTATGATTGGGTCGTACGAACCTAAAAAAAAATCTGCTGCGCTTCGCGTCGAGATCATGGTTCAAGTCATTATCAGGAAAGCAAAAGTCTGCTGACCGTCACATTATAGATAAACACGTTTTTATAAAATTCCAAACAATAAATTAATTTCCAACTAGAACTTTACCAGTCTTTATCCAATTTTCTAATTATCAATAATAAGTTTACGTTTTAAGGTCGCGTATGTAATAGACCCGCTTTTAGAATTCCAGAATGTCGTGAAAAAACAATTGAGTCGCCCATTGAAGAACTTACATTTTTTCAACGCAGCCCTCAGGTTTTTGGAGAGGGACAATAATTGTTAGTTCATGCCTTTAATATGAACTCCATACCCTGTAATTTATGCTAGAATACTACTTAGCTTTGGCTTTTATATTGGACGATGGCTACGCCACTGTTAACCTTTTGTCCAAATCTATGGAATGCGTTGGAATCAGGGGGATTTTTTTATTAGAGAGATAAAGTCACACCAGACATGCGCAAGTCGATTAAAACGTACGTACGTACGTTACGCAAAAAGTTAACTTATCTTTCCTGTTTTCTTTAACTTTGTCATCATTCGTAAAATTGTAGTCCAGGTAGCAGAGGGTCGTCAAAATGACGTCATTAACTAGTCACCAAATGGCAAAAATAATAAAATAACTTACAGTAGCACGGCAGGACGTGATTTTGACCTACTAATATCATTTAAGTGACATCTTTTTTACATCAACTTACGAGTCATTATCGCCAAAACACATAACGATCTTTAAATTGTTTTTTTTTTGTTTCTGAAGTGGGGAAAGTCGAAAGTAAATTAAAGCAAGTAAGTAAGTAAAGTAAATTAAATTATATAGAACGCCTTTTGCATTTGCGGGAAATTGAGAATTATAGTTAATGAATAAAATTGAGCCTTTCTTTTAAAAAAAATAATAATGGAAGTATTATATACAGGGTTTTCTATTGGATTTTTTCACGAAAAGCATTATTTTCATTTTGACTTCTCCTGTATAAACGATTCGAACTAACTTCAAGACAAGACTGTACCATTTTATAAAATTGTAGGCATAATAAAATTACAGACGTCGAAAACGGGTGTCAAAAATAAAGAATATTAAATACGAAAAAAGAACCCTACATTGAATGATCGAGTATAAAAGAGTGTATCTACTAATGGCATAATATACAGGGTGTTCGATTTAAAAAATTTAACTTTGATTTTCCGCACATTTGTTAATCGCCCTGGAAATATTGAAAATAATTACAAATTATTTTTGTATATTAACATTTTTCTAAACAAAAAAAGTATAATAAACAAGATATATTACTTTAACACACTCCTTGGACACCCTCTAAATATATTCTCCTACATCACGGATTTAAATAGAAGAATTTGATAATAGTTTGAATTAATTATTTAGTTTAAAGTCCATATCTGGAATTCATCAAGTCATTTTATGACGACATTCAGAGGTCATTTTTGTGATGTTAGTAAGACATTTTTTACGTCAATTTCCCTTGTTTTTCGGACTACTGACGTGTAGCGCCCACTTATGACTCGAAAATGACGTCGCTCTGACGAGCCTCTGCTACCTGGGATTCTCGAAAATTTCATATTCCAACGCAATAAACACGTCACCATCATTGAAAACACGCGAAGCCGTTACTGAAAAGTTCGACAGCAGCCGAGATGTGTCACATGCCATTGATGACGTGTGACATGTCAAATTCAACGCCAACTTCGCGGCAACCGACTGGATAAAAACAAATATCCTTTTTTAATATTCTTATCGATCCGAGAGATTTCTCAATAATTTTCACCGAGTGTTTTTAAAGTGGTTAACCCCGAATTTCGACGTTTGGAAATACAAAAAAAAAAGAAAAAGTGCAATTAAACCCTTGCTATATGGGAAGGAAGATTAGGGGGCGAGATCGCCAGCTCGTTTCACCAATTTGTTGTACAAAAAATATGGCTTGTATGGCTTTTTGTCGTAGCGATTGGAGGTTACGTTATCGGCATCTGTCGTTTCCCCCTCCTTCTCCGTTACGTTGCTACGGTTACGGTACTGTCTGGGAATCGCGCCATATTTGACGTTCACCAGCTTGGTGTCCAACACCTCGCAATCGATTTGCATCAGCGGCACGTAATTTTGGGATGAGGTGCCTGAAAGAGAGCGAACCAAATCATAACTACCAAAGTCCTAGGCTGCAACTTAAGGATCGTCCTAACCCACTAAAGTCTGGAAACACATGCAAGAAGAAGAACGACAAACCAAATTTCAAATAAATAAAATTAATACACCGTAAGTAGAGCTTTTGCCAAGAAACCTACCAAATCATAATTATTAAAATCAAAGCACTGTCCTAACCTAGCATCCCACGACCTGTTAGACCTCTTTGCAGGTAGAGCAAACCAAATACAATTTTCTAAATAATTAAAATGAATGCACTGTAGGTGATCACACATTCGTGCCTGAAAATCCACTAAGCCATAACCACGAAAGTCTTAACCAAGTAAAGTAAAATATTGGACGGTCTCCTGGAAACACGCGAGTTTATTGCAAGAAGAAAAAAAAAGATCTACAGATCAAGGACAATTTCTAAATAAATAAAATTATTGTAGTGTAGTTGATCATATTTATTACAGGGCATATAGCACTCTGAGATTACGACGTCATTGCACTCACCGTTGGGCAGCATAGACGGCATCAGTAGCGACATCTTTGGTCTGCGCGTTTTGTTATGGTACAGGGCGGGTAGCAGCATGTGGTGCTCGTTGAACGACACCACGTAGAACGTGTCATCTTTCCTGTTAATGGCTTCGAAAAAATCGGAATACAAATGTTCCGGTTTCGGCGAAAACACTTGGATTTCGTTGGCCCTCGGCATCATCGGACCGTAGCCCTTCTCCAACGGTTCGACCGACCGCTGTTCCACGCGAACCTTCTTCTTCTTTTTGGGATTGCGCCTGCGTTTAAGAAGACTGATATAATAGTGGGCGTTCGATCCACTTACAAAATGAGTTAATGATATCACTTAAACGGGCTGACCAACTGTATAGGATTGGCCCGTACAGGTTCAGGTTTTTCCGACGATGTTCCGGAAAATCTACTCGCCTTGGATTGTCTCGGATTTTTCAATATAGTTAGTTATATTTTAACCCCAGCAAATTTTTAAAAATCATTGGCAACTTCACATTCCTCAGAAATTCAATCCGCAACAAAAACTATTTTATTTTAAAATAAAACATTAATAAATGAAGACGGACTATTTGATGAAATATCTGTAATGTGTAACCAATGAAAAGTAGGAAGACTGTGTGTGCCCAATGGTTTGAAGTTTCTCATAATTGTGAAAAAAGCAACTGGGGTTTAAAAACATCTGCTATCTGGTACTAATGCAGAGCAAATTTTCAATTATAAACAACTTTTGGATTGGCGAAAAAAGTCAACTTCGTGTGAGCACTTTGAAATCAGCCATGATGACAAGGTGCAACGGGAATTTAGGTTGTTTGAAGTTTTACAAACTCCTTTTAAAAAATGATGTTGCTCCAAAAGCAATACGTGGTCAAAATAAGTATTTTTTTAAACAAAATCATTATACATTAAAATTTAGTTCGGATATATTTCCAATCTCTATAAGATAAAAGATTTTTCTATACAAAATGATTGTCTATTCTTCAACACACTAATACGTACAGGGCGTGCCTACAAAGCGGTTTCCGTGTTAAATAGATTGATTATTTTTTCCATTGTGAAAGACCAAAATGCTTCTGCAATTTGTAAACTGCTCATAAAATGCAGAGCACGAGACTACGGGAATATGGAAATGGAAATAACTATTCTGACTAAGGAATGTGTAAACTATAACATCTTTTTGCAAACCATGAAATATAGAAAATTCTTGTAAAGTATAGAGCACCATTAAATACCTGCGTTGGGTTAAGTTGGTCTGAAGTGTGGCGGGTCTGGGTGGCTCGGCAGGTCTACCAATCAACCTTTCCAACTCTAACACTAGTCTCGCACTCTCCGTTTGATTTACGTAGGCCGGGCACATGGTCAACGGTAAGAAGTTAAGAGTGCTGTTGCTTCTGGTCTCCTCGCTGCTATTCTCGTCCGATGTCCAGAGGAGTGTCCGTCCGTGGTGGTCTGTCAATTTAGGCAGGTCCTTTTGTACCGGGCCAACGGCGTTTTTGAGAGCAAACGGATTCCTGATAACGGATACATATTTGATCCAAATTAAAAGAAAGGCGGAAATCGCTCTCACCTGAGAAAGTCGATATTTAATCCGACTACAAGCAAAAACACGCACAGCGCCAGTTTTGCGTTTTTCCCGGGAATATTCGGAAAGCGGCTCTCGTAAACGGCTAGTTTTTTCTTTAATGCCGCGTTTTCCTGAAAAGGGTTTTAAGGAAAGAAAATTAAGCCGGAACATTCCATCGAAATTTCGGTAGCATTCACTTCAATCGAAGACCACACAAACCTTTATCTTAAGTGCATAAAAAACATGGAAATAGACTAAATATAAATCAAAATTTCATGGTTTTTATTATTAATCTGAGACAGAGAAGACTTCGTCGCAGTATTTTCAGATCAAATTCTTCAAAAAGGTTTTTGAATTTCCTTTAGCAAAAATTACGTTTTAATGTTGCACCTCCCCTCTAGTAAACCAACTTGTAATTAATTAAAGCAATGCAAAGCACCACAACAACGGTAAAAAAAATCCAAGACCGTTCAAAGTTCTTTGGAAGATGTCACGGCATCTTTCGACAGGTGGCGCTCGAGGCGGCATCTTCGCACACATCGACATTAACCAAAAACAAAAAAGCAATAAAACGTTTTTTCACATTTCGAAAAGTAGCAGTGGCTATTTCTAAAACATTGCCAAAACAATTGCCTTGCAAAACACACTTTATCAACAGATACTTCACACAATCGGCTTTAAAGCTTATCGCGACACATAAATAATGACGTGAAAAAATAAACTGCAGTTTTTAAACGAAAAAACCCGTTAAATCGGTATAAGGTTGGATAGGTGCTAAACCGAAATTCTTACCGCAACAAGTCTATCATTTGCGGCGGACAAGTCTTTAACCTTTTCCTCCAGGGACGTGAGGTAGTCTTTTTTCCTCTTTCGGGACAGCGAAGCGGACTCGCGATTTTTTATTTTCCTTTCGTGTTTCTTTAAAATTTTTGGATCGATGTTTGAGTCCCGGCCCATGTTGTACCCGTTATTTATGATGGTAACGGGAGAGATCACTTGCTTTGGGGGCGAAATGCCGCGATTTATGGTATTTATTGGAACCGCGGGACCACCGTTCACTACAACTAGTTTGGAGGCACCCCCAAGGACATTTGTACCTAATAATTGAGGAAACTCATTTTTAATAAGAACTACACTGCTTTCGTTTAATGTAGGCGATATGACTGGAACTTTTGGTTGGATAGGAACTCTTTTAATTGGTAATTTAGTTTCGACGCTTGATGGTGACTTCGGCGAATGCACTGGTGAACTAAACCCATTTTTTGAATTAACTGGTGATGGGCTGTTCTTGACAGAAACGGGAGATAAAGGTTCGCACAAATTTAAATTAGAATTCGAATCGTTAGAATGGTCCTCAACTTTGATTTCTGAATGCAAATCTGGGCAATTCTTATCCCAATTGAAAAAATCTAAATCTAATGCAGAAGACTGGTTTGAAAGGGTGTCCATTCTCGAAGGCGACGCAATGTCTGATAAAATTTCTTCTGTACTTTTATCTAAAAATGAATTCAATACAGACAACTCATCCTCTCCGGGATTCAAAAACAGGGGTATATCTAAATCATTGGACAATTGAGTAATGAAATCCTCCTCTGATACAATGTCCATAATTTCTAGAAAAAACAACATGGGTTTCAATAAAAACTAACCTTCAACGCGCACAGATTGTCGTTAAAATACCTGTCGAACACGAATTGTCGCTGCATGATCCCGGCGAACTCTTAAATGCATAATCGTTGAAGTCGATTTCGTTTTCCAACACCCACATTTTCACTGTACTTCTTTTCAACACTGATTCAAAAAATATGCGATGCGGCAAATGAGTTCCATGTGCTTTGCCTCATTAGAATACACTTTGTTTTTATCATTTTGCTGACGTTGACTTGGTAAACCGGAGAAGGTGGGCGATACAAATACCTGCTGCTTTGTACACCAGCCAAACATTTATTGACGATTCACGATTTATGTTAGACAACCATTTAGCGCCAAGCGTATAATGGGTCATCTACTTTTGTTTTCCGTGTGCTGTGGCAAATTAAAAACCATAAATAACCGCGGTCACTTGTCACTCTTTTTAATACAATGAATTTATTTAATGAAAACCAATTCGGGACTTCTTATTCAGTCAGATATATTCAAACAAACCCATTATGCAATCAATGGCGGAACTGGACAATCGCTATTGTAAACAATTTTAGGTTATAAATTTCACCCAAATTTCCATTCCAATGTGTAACCAGGTCATGCTTCTTTACAAAGCAAGACCTTTGTTATTTAAAAGCGTTTGCCGCTGCCATTCCTGAATGGAGATGCCACGAATCGTGCTCCTTCTCAGTGGCAAAAGAAAGAGCGGTAAAGATTATATTTGCGACAAAATAAAACAAAAGTAACAATCCTGACAAATCTGGACACCATTTTTTAGTTTTTTTTTTACAGATACAAAGTGTGCGAAGTAATAAGAATTTCCGGCCCACTGAAACGACTGTACGCAGAGCACCACCAACTAGATTACAATGAATTGTTAAGTGATGGCCCTTACAAGGAGAAATATCGTCTGGATATGATTAATTGGAGCGACCACGTTAGACACAAAGACTACGGTTACTTTTGCAGGGCTGCGTGCGAGGAAGGTGCAGTTGAACCATATAGCTATTAATTTAGTACATAATAAATATAATATAGAGAACCCTACTATGATAAAATTGATAGGCCTCAGGTGGCCATAATTGCGTAGAGATGGAAACGATCTTTCGCACATGCCTATACATGATGTACATTTTTTTTCTGAACATCGATGTTCATATTTAAAGTCTTTATGCCTGAAGAGTTAATGGAATTCGCAAATATTTTGAGAAAAAAAATGTGTCCTATATTTATTCGCCATCTGTCAGCGGCCATGTTATTGAATGCCCTTATTGCTTGGAAATGACACTTTAAACTCGCGCATGCGCCTGTTAAATGAAGCTTCCCATTTTTTTTTTTTTAATAGTTGCCTTATAAGTTTCCAGTATAGGGTCTCTATAATTGAACAATTTTAAATACCTGCGCCTGTGTCTATTCCCAGCCGCCCCAAACGAAGTTTGGATAATAAGCGACGTCAGAAGAAAAACCGATATAAAATGGTTTCGAGAAAACTATCGCAACGTTAAAACCATTAGAATCGCAGCAGACGTCGAAACTAGGGCGAAACGGGGATGGAAATTTTGTAAAGGTGAATATTTGTTATTAATTGGAACAAATTAGCAGTGGATGGGATTATAGGTGTCGATGACGTGATATCAGAATGCGACTTGGACGATTTTGATGACTGGGATCTTAAATTAAGTAACAACAATAATGAGGAGTGTGAAAAATCCATTGAGGCTATATTGTGTTTAGCAGGATAGTGGAGGTGTGTCAAGTTAACAGTGGTTGAGGTTTTAAATGTCAAAAACTCTTTTTTATACAATGAATTTATTAAATTAAAACAAATTCGAGACTTCATATTCAGTCAAAAACATATTCAAACAAACCCATTTATGCCGATCAATGGCGGAACTGGACAATCGCTATTTCACAAACTAGTACAAGAAAAAACTGGGCGTAAAGCTAATATAACAAAGTTCTGGGACACTTAAAGTGTCGTCCATAGTTTTTGGTACCGATTTAATATAACTAATTTACGAAAATAATCTTCTCCATATGAGACGTTTTTTTTTTCAGATGAAACTTTCCTTCCACTAGGAAGGTAAATTTAGTTTATAGCAAGAGACTAGAAGTATTGCGGCGCAGTCATACTCATAACGTCTAATTTACACTGAGAAAAAGTGCATCAATCAATTCGCTATGTCAAGGTCATTTTTTTAAAATTATTCACATTTTAGCGTTTTCTGTAACGGATGACCTTCAAACGTCAAAAATTTCTTGATTATTGAAGCGGTTAGCAAGAAAATTGACGAAATTTATTCCCAATGTAAACCTAACAAAAATTACATTACTATCACAAAGATGAAAAATAATGTCAAACAAAGCAAATAAAAAGAAATTGGGGTGAAATAAAAAAAAATCAATAGTTCTGTCATAAGCCACAAAAAAAGCTTTTATTTCTAATTATGCTCGGAAAGCAAATTAACCAAAATCAATAAATTGAATCAAAAATAAATTTTTCAATTCTTAACGGGTCACCGAAATTTTCAAACCAGACAAGATCTATGGGATACAATCCATGATGGCGATCTTATCAAATTTAAAATCGAGCCAAGAGGGGGCGCAAAATTCGACATTATTGTCGTCGCATTCGGGGAATAGTTGGCGCTTGCTGTGCTTCTTATCTGGTTTCTTTTTGTGCTTACCCTCGTCGTTTTCTATCTTCGTGTTGCTCCGGGATTTGATGAACTTCTGGGCGCTGTTTTCGGATTCGCTCAAGCTGCTCGATTTCTTTCGGTATCGGCGAGTAGTCCCACTGCAAATTTGCTTGAGCCTTTTGATAAACGGTAAAACCATAAAAAACGAATTAGGACTAACGCCGATTTTCGTTTTCGGCGTTGTGTCTTTCTTGTTGATCGGCAAATCGGAAATGGCGAACCATGTGCACGATTTAATTTCGCACCGCGTTTTCGGTTTAAATTCCGTATTTAAGGGTATATTTTTAATAATATACAGCCGGACAAGTTGGTCGTTTACAATTGACTCTAAGTACTCCTCTGGATTAATGAACGGACTAATGTCAAACCCGGTTTCTTCCAACACCTCTCGAATGGCACAATGGACGGGATCTTCTTCTTCATTAACCTTACCCTTTGGAAAGCCCCACGAAGATTTGGCCCAGTAGCTCTGAACCAACAGCACATGGGTCAAGCCTTCCGATAAAATTATAGCCCCATAAGTAGGAACGCTCTGCTTGTACTCCTTCCATTCATTGAGGATTTGAGTCAGCTTATGACTTTCACTTTTCAAACCGGGAATATGCTAAAGATGTGGAATCGGTTTAAAAACGCTTATCAGATAAACAACATTTTTTGACTACTGTTAAGTTCATATTTTATTATGCAATGACATGGAAAAAATTAAATTTCGATGATAGGGGGATCTATTAGACATTATTTTTTCCAAATTTTAAACAAGGAATTGCAAGCTCAAGGTTTCACATTTATTTTAAAACACTCTGTATACAATAAGATAAAAACAACTAAAGTGCAATAAGTTGTTTCTTGTACACACAACTTAAGAGTCACACAAAGGTGGGGTTGGCAGTTATTCCATTGAATACCTAATTTCCAGTAGTAAAAAAATGTTTGGGAATTGGAATAAAAAGTATTTGCTAATTACCTGAAAGACATGAGCTGCAAACTCGTAAATACTGCAAGCTTTTAGACGCTGATCTTTACCGACATAAAAATCCAAATAAAACCAATGCGCCATTTCAATTTGGAAACAAATGCGAATCAAATTCTGCTTTGCCGATTCCGGGACGAAAATAAGAAACCTCCTACAGAATAATTTTATGTTTGCCCTTTTTGAAATATCATTTTATTCCTTTGCACTCACGTTAGAAGATCGTTCAGAATATCAATAGGGATCGAGTGCTCCACCGTTCTTAATTCGATATCTTCTTCATCCATGACTTTAACACAGAATGCAACTATTTACTTGAAAATCAAAAATTTAGTCAAATGGCTACGTTTTGTTTCTTAACTTTTGTTTTTGGAGACGATTGACGCTAACCACATTGGAGTCCGACATTTTGTATGTTTCTATCGTGGATCACGTGTTTATGTATCAGAAGCACAGACCACCAATTAGGCGCACTGTCTTCAATGTTCAAAGTGAAGCTACTAACTTTAGATCATGTCAGTGTATGTAAGGTATAGCCGATAAGAAAGAAAAGAGAGATTCTAAAGGAATATTTTCTTAATTTAAATTCGCTATAACAAAATTGAAAAGGAAAGTGGACAAATAAACAACGCGTACGCTAAGAAGTGCTTAGCTAAATCTCTAGTCGACGCAGTCTATACATAGCGAATTAAAAATTTCTGAAATAAAAAATGCGGCAATTTTCTTTAAAACATTCCATCTAAAATTAATCACTACTGCGGTTATTCAGTGAAAAAGTAACGGAAGCATTTATATGTGGAATAATGTTGCCACAGATGCAGCAAAGCGTAATATTATGAAATTAAACTAAGCATTTTTAATCAGCGATTTGTTTTTCGCAGAATTTCGAGGCATTACCAACCCCCCGCCATCTTTCGCGCTTGTCAACCGTCATCCGTTCTGAATTTACTTCACTTCCAGTCTGTTTACTTCAGTTTGCTATGAAGTGCCGTGTGGTGATTACGTGCGTGAGGTTGTAAAATGGCGGCTCCCCTGACACAGGAACAAGAGAATGTATGTAATTCATTTCCACCGTAATCCACTTTACGTCTTAATGCCGAATTTTTATGTTTGAAAATTAAGTCGCATCCGTACAAATTCGAGTAGCGATCCGAAAGTCTCGCTTTCATTCAAAAAGTGGCATTGTTGCTTCGTTTTTAGCAGCGGCCGACAAATTCCCGTTTGCCCACGTAAATAATCCGCGTTTCGGGTTTCCGAGATTGATATTTTGGCTTAGATCCGCGGAAGTTAACGCAGGTGCACCCGTGGCGGATCCGAGGCTCGATTTTTTTCCGTTTTGCATCGTAAACAATAGAAGTATCGTATCGTTGGCCTTGTGGGGCATTTAAATTGCAGGATCCTAACCTTTAATATTTTATCAATTGTCATTAATGAGTTTTAAATGGCTGTGGGTCACTGTCGGGCCTTGGGGATTCTTGTATGCTCGCTTATGTTCTTCGCATAGCTTTCTTAGGCAACACGTAGATAATTTAACTGTACTTATTTTGGTAGGAATGTTAAAGATTCATCATATGAAGGTGATTATATTTAAGCGTTAGTAAAAGAGCTTTTAATTTGAATTTTACACACCTAGTTTAAAATAGAATTTAGCTAGGGTTAAAATGACGTAAGAAAGAATTTAATATTAAGTTACTCTTCGAGGGGCTTTTACTCTTTTTCTTATAAAGAATTACCTTGCCAACATTAAATTAAAAAGGTTAATGTTACAAAATATGTAACTCAATTTGATTCAATAAATTTGTAGCCACTTACATTCGATGTTTACTTATATAAAAGCGTTATAAAATATTTGTTTATTGTTGTCTAAGTACCTACTTGCATTTGTTACCGCCTTCAGTTACGTATTAAAATTTATGTAGGTATAACTTAATTGGTTAGGACGATAGTTCTTCCTCCACATGGGTTGCAAATTTTTATAGGTATTTTATTAACGACTTTCCATGGAAAAGTTTTCCGAAATCTTTCATCGGAAGCAGATGTTTCGAGGCTATATTCGATGTGCGACGCAGTCATCTCGCCGTCCGGAGATGGGAACGACTCAAAGGCGTGCGGAAGTTCATCTCGAAAACGGAAATAGTTATTTACGCCATTACGAGGCCACGTTGCAGCGCCAGAGAAAAGCCTCCTTGTCCGTTTAACGAAATTAAAAAAACCAATCGAAGGTAGAACTGATAAAAACAGTCGATTCGCATTCGACAGCAGACTGGACGGAGCAATTTCAGGAAAGGGTTTTCAACAAAAGCAGTTTTTTACATTAAATCGAATGGACTTTTATTGGCATTTTGATTTTTTTAAATTAAATTGAGTATAAATAATACATCATCAGACCTGAAGAGTGAACGTTGCCCAGACCTCCGTGAAATCTTTGTTATCTGTAGAATCTTTCTAAAGACACTGCGTATTTCTAAGATTTGATTGGCGTTTTAATAATAAATAAAATAAACTAAAAACAAATCAAACCAAGGAACTATTTTTCGGATATTTGTTGATTGCACTTAAGGTGCGATGTTTTTTCAAAGAACAAAACAACTAAACCCTTTTCCACTTTTTCAAAAGAGTTCGCCTTCGTCTGAAAGATTTTCCAACTAACTCACTCTACTCGTATGAGGGACTTTAAAGAAAAAGAAGTGGCCATCATTTATTATAGATTTGAGACACAAGAAAGTGGGAGTACTCTAATAACTTTTAAATGGCTTGAGATAGCGATTTGAAATTTGGAAGGGTTAATATAGGCTGAATGTCCAATTTTTTGACAATATATTTACAACGGTTGCACTTCCGGTTTGAGCGAATAGACAGTACCTTTCAAATTTTAAGTGGCACAACCTATATTTTTTAGAATGGTTTTTCTCTTTTTTTTTTTGTTTTTTTAATTTTTGAAAATTGCGTCTACGAGGCTGTGACAATAAATACTATTTACCGGGTCACCTCATCTTAGGAAAACTTGTAAATGAAACTTTTCTTTACCTGTCTAATGCCAAACAGCATTTAATGCAATGAACTACTAATTTTTTGGGATAACCTATATTTTTCAAATAGCACCCTAGTGGGAACAAAAACTTTTTAAAACTGGTACTTTTTGTGCAACATTTTGACATCAAAATTTTCAAAATCCGTTAAAAAATAAGATCACAGAAAGCAAAAAACCAGATAAGTAATAGTATATTATGCAACAAGTGCGGTAAATGGCATTTGACTCACGAGTTTATTTGGCACGAGCGGAGCGTACATTTCCGCGAAACAACACGAATACATTCACTGACATGGCCGTCAGAATTGACAAACGTCAAAATTCAAGGCGTTGGGATATCTCCGAAAAATCCCGGAAATGTCCGGAGCGGCTCGGATCCGTAGGAAACGAAACTGACGCGGTAAAGTGACGCTTCCTGCACGCTAGATCGGTATTCTACAAACGGGAGTAGAAGAGTACATTATAAAAACAAAATAGTACTTAGGTGGCTTTGTTTCTATTCATCATCAAGTCGACATGATTGAAAATTTTGACAGTTTGTACATTTTAATCTGATTATCCATTTTGTCGTGTTATAGATTTGGATTATCATAATAATAATCAATTTACAAAAGGAGAAAGAATCGATATGTTTCTGATATATGGGGAATGCAGAAAAAACTCTCGACAGGCCCGTGCATTGTATCCGGGACGTCGCCTTCCTGTACATTCTTTCTTTAGAATTCTGGAATTGAAACTGATAAATCCACAAAGTAATCGACATGATAATTTTACTATAAGTGAAGAAATTGAAATCAATGTTGTTGGATACGTCAATGTAAATCCAGCTGCGTCGCTAAGAAAAGTTGCATTAGAATTAGACATCTCAAGAGAATCTGAGGAGAATTAAAAAAAAAACACTGTTATCATTTTTTTAAGTATAACCTTCATCAACATGAAGCTGAGTTTGTAAGAATACTTCGATATTGTAATTGGCTGTTAGATAAACATGACGAGAATGATAATTTCGTTAACTTAATTTTGTTCAGTGATGAGTCACGATTCTCAAATAATTGCTATGTTTAACGGACAGAACAGATACTGGTCTTTAAATAATCAAAGAAATATTCGTCCCGGACTGTTTCAAGAACGGAATTAGTGGACCTGTTTTTTTTTCCATGGTGCCTTAACTGGTGCACGATATTTAGAATTCCTAAGAAATGAAATTCAAGACTTGTTAGATGATTTACCTCATCTCTAGTTCCAAAGTAAATGAATGTAATGTTTTGTGTCAACGAATTGTTGAGGTTTTATTTTCTAACAGATTTTCAAGATATTGTGTTGAATTATCCTAACAAGTGGTAAGTTGTAAGTTGTAGCTTATGTCGTACGTATACATTCAATACTTACGTTATTTTTTAACTGTATCCCCGTATTCCAAAAGCATATCAACCCTTTACCATAACAAACCACTTTCAACAAAAAATTCTAGTCGATGAATCTCTGAAGAAACTCGCCCTTGAATTTTATTTTTTTTAAAATACTGATCTGAAATTATTTACTTATCTGGTTGTTTCCTTCCTGTGAGCAAATTTTCTAAAGAATGTTGAAAATTTTGGTGAAAAAATGTTGCAATAGAGTACCGGTTTCAAATAGTTTTTGTTCGCACTAGGGTGCTATTTGGAAAAGCTAGGCTATCCTAAAAAATTAATAGTTCCATTACATTAAATGCTATTTGCAATTAGACAAGTAAAGAAAAGTTTCATTTACAATTTTTCCTATTGTCAACCTCCTACACAACAATTATTTCCGGAATTTTTTTCTCGCTCATTAAAATTTTACAAAATTATCGCTCGTCTTCGATTCGGGATAATTTTCAAAATATTTATGAGCTCAAAAAATGTCCATAAATAATTTGACCCCTAGTGTATAATGGCCAAATGGCAAAATTTACAAATTGAAGTACATAATTTAGGTATTTTAAGTCTATTTGAAATAATAATTGTAATTTTTTTTTCAAATATTGACAATTCTTAAGGAAAACATTTTGTGTGCGCTTTTTTCGAAGATTTTGTAAGATGTTGGATTTATATAAATTTTATTTTTTACAAATATTTAAAGAAAATATTAATCGATCATCAAATAATGAGATGCAGTCAGTAAAGCAATTGAACAACGAGAACACCCCACGTTCTCATTTAAAGAAACAAGCGAGAGAAAGACAGCAATACCCATTCACTAACTTTCGTTTTCTATCGGTAAATTTGCCTCACTTTTCTATCGCGCCGTTACCATTTCGGTTCGGGTCGACTCCAGAGATCGAAAATGAAAAAAACCGACGAGTTCTGGAATTGTCCTCTCGTTCCAGGCAACGAAAGAATTCATCGAACGCGTCAACGCGCGCTACCGCCGGAAGTTGTTCGGTTCGCCATTGCCGTGGTCGACGGCGGTGCGTTTTTTGTACGCCCGCAAGTTCGACGTGAATCGGGCTCTGGCCCTGTTCGAGCAACACGAGGCGATCAGACAACGAGAGGGCCTAAACCGTTTCGACCCCATGAACGAACCCCTTCACGGCGAACTACTCACCGGCAAATTCACCGTTTTGGTAAGCTAGCTTATCCTGGTGTCCGTGAACTTAACATTTGTTACATCCTAAATAACCGGTAAAGTCAATATTACTACTGTAATACTATTTAAGATTCCTCCTGCGTTGTTGCTTTCTTCCTTCCATGGAAATGTTACGCCGATGACACTTTTGTTATTTGGCATCATGGTCAAGAACGACTATCGATTTTCGTAAAAAATCTCCTACCAAAGGTGACGCTTGGAAATCTTAAACAAGTTGCCGAGGAAATTCAGGGTACCGACCCCGGTCGGACAACACTAGACCAAGCTGAAACCCAAATTGAGGGGACGAGGACCGCTCCCGAAAACTGGTATGACTTCCAGAGTTTTCGTACCAGGTTCAGGGGAATGGGTCCAAATCTTCTCCCCAAAAAACCAAAGCTAAAGTTCAACCCTAACTTGAAGAATATTGTCTCTAACGTCAACGAGCATTGCAGATCATCCACGACTGATCTACTGTGCAGCGTTAACATGTGTGACTCGAAATGGTCAAAAACTGCCTCAACAACAGTTCCTAACGGGACAATTAAACGAAACACCGGTTGCAACGAAGGATCATAGAACTGCAGAAATCATAGTCAGACTTCCGGAAAAGTTTTCCTCAAATATCCAGCAACAAAAAGGATTTGAACTTAACTTTATATCTGACTATTTAGACACCTTAAAGCAAAGCTTGGCTGCGTACGCCAAACGCCTCAAGAGATATTGTAAGAGTTACCGTAGAAAAATGGATAATGTTGACTTCTCTAGATCTGAAAAGACTTTTTATAGGGGTTTGTAGTAAGAGACGCCCAGCTCTAAGAAAACTCACTACCCCGATCCGGGGGAAATGGCAATATTTTGAAAGACGGTATGGTCCGACAACGCAGTGTACAGAGGGGACGCGCAGTGGATTAAAAACGAGAAAGACGCGTTTGTAGGCTTAAAAATGACAAAAATCGAGGTCACAACAGTGGACATTCTAAGAGTTGTTATCTTCCGTAGACAATGAGTCCGAAAGCAACCCCACAATTGCCACTGTCATCCTTGCTTACGTTCAAAATATCACTGACCACATATTATAAGTTCTGAAGCGATGTAACGTTAAAATCAGTTTTACAAGTTGTCCAAAAATCTCTCAACATCTTCAATCCGTCCAAGACAAAATTCCGTTTAAGATACCAGCAGTTCGCAGCATTCCATGCATATGTGGCAAATAATACAAATTAAATAAAAGGACATGAAAGAGCCATTGTAAAATTTGCCTCACTTTCTATCACGCTGCTGCCATTCCGGTTTAACTGGAGTTCACTGGTTTCCGGCCGAGGTAAATGTAAATTCGTTAAATTTGGAGTATATGTATTTTAACATATTTCGGCGGCGCCTTTAAAATCATAAATAAAGAATTGAAATGAAAATGGTGAATCTCAAGATCTCGAGCCTCACTTTCACTCCGATTATTGCGATTTCAGCCAAACAGGGACCCGTCCGAGGCCGCCATCGCCGTGTTCACCGCCCACAAGCACGTGCCCGCCAGTAGCACTCACCAGACTACGTTGCAGGGTTTGGTTTACCAGCTAGACGTGGCGCTTCAGAACCCGTTGACGCAGAGGTCCGGCATCGTCTTCATATACGACATGTCAAATTCGAAGTACTCCAACTTCGACTACGACCTGTCGCAGAAGATTCTGACCATGTTAAAGGTACGTTACCTAAGAAGTTCGGAAATTTATGGGGGTTATTGGGATAATCTTTGCCATTGCGGACCTGGAAAAACGATGAAAGAACTATCCAATTAATTGATGTGAATTTGACCTCAAAAATCCTTGATCATAAGTTAAGAAAAAAATTGAAAATAAAAAAAACATATTATGGATTGATATCGTAATCGATATTTTACGAAATAATGTTAATGGTGATCGCTCAGAGACGAAACAAAAGGAGGCAGCTAAATAATTTTTTTTCCTTATGCCAAGAAGAAAACTTCATACGAACGCATGGCCTAAACGTTGAGGTACAGGGGAATACAAATTTCCCATATAATTTAATTGAATTAATTTAAATTTTCCAGGAAGTGAAACCCACTATTCAATAAATCATTTAATATAAAAAAATCTTTCTCTTAAATGTTAAGTAATGGAAATAAAATATTTTAATACTTCAAACAAAAATTTTTTGTTATGCTTAACTAAAGGAAAACACGACAACATAGTAAGCGAGATCTATTTTTTTTCTAAATACGCAGGACTTAACGAAATACTTGACCAAAACAATGTACGGGGTTTTCCAAATAGCCACTGTCACACTAAAATAGTTTTGCGCAAATCCAACACTTCCAAAAATCACAAAGTACAATTTTAAGAAACACCCAAACAACGAATGACAACGGTAAAGATAAGATTTAGACTGATATCAATAAAGTCCAGTCAGAGCAATTGTCCAGTTTCGTCATAGCATGACATCTTTATCTACTTCATTACTGGATGTCGTAAATTGACACAGGAATTTTGTTTGTCAGTTTTGAAATCCGTGAAGAAATAACGATCATTTTTGATTAAGTCACTTTACTTGATGTAACTGCATATCTGCTCTGACTGGAGTATACCAAGCCACTATATAAAAGTCACTGCTTTAGAATTTTACTTGTAGCGCCATCTGGCGGCATGCTGAGTAGATCCGTAACAGGGTCGTTCTTTTCTACCATACTACTACTACTTTTCTTTCTAATAGGACTACTAAAGATCATTCGGCCAGCTTACAAATATTAGTAAATATAATTTAAATTTTCTAAATAATGCCATCGTAAAGAAAGGATCTATTCCTTCATTCTCTAGTATACAGTATATAGTATATACAGTAGAACCAATTTTAAATCACAGTTCGAATCTACAAACATCCAGATAAAACAACCAATAATTCAGAAAATTAGATTTTTAACCGATTTATAACTTTTTGGAAGCGGACATCCCACAAAAATCGCGGCTTTTATTTTCTGGTAGACGAATAAAAAAAATTATCTGGCGTTTTACACAACCCGATGGCACGATTTGTAATCTTGTTTTTGTGTTGCCTCCATTATTATTATATAAAGCACACTAAGCACAAATACAAACACATTTTACACGAGCCAAAAATAAACGTAAATAATATAATTCTCGGCCTATAACCAGAGAATAACACTATTACAGTCGCCGTATCGATTGGAAAGCAGCGGTATGACGTCACGATCATTCCCGCGCGTTTAGTGTCGTTTAAAAGGCATAAGCGGCTGTCACAACTTGAATTATTAATTGCAACGTAAATATTGGGTATTGAGATTTGATATTTGGTATGCGTTATTTCTGTAAATAAAGAAATGTATTAAAGAAACAAAAAAAATGTTCAATTTTCCTTATTGTCGCCACAGATGCTTGTGCCTTGTCGATATCCGATCCAAAGCGGATCGGTGTGTTTTTTTCTTGTATTACGTTTCGGGAATCGTGATTGGGGACGACGACGGGCGTGTCCCGCCCCTCGCCCGACAATGACACATTGCGAACTAATTTGTTTTTGTTTTCGTCATTCTGAGCTGTCGTTTTACGACTGATCGGCTATGGCCTTGAGTCTAGCCAGTGCGAAAACGATTTGCATTCGAACAGCGCGCGTGTACCGACCCGATCGCGTTAAATCTGCCTGATTATTAGCACGTGCCGACTAGAGAAATCTTTGGCTCACATTTGGACTTCGTTGCACGGCAACAACCGAATAAAGCTGAAGTATTTCTCCGGGATGCGTAGGGGGGCGTGTAGGGTGTCCAAATTTCGCAAATATCATCGAAAATAAATAAGAGCCTTCTTTTATTAACGTCCCTCCGACACCGCTTTCATTGAGAGATATTTTTTAGAAAATTACCAGCGACCTCCGTTCCAGATTTGTATTGACTTTTTTTCCTCTAGCGATATATCGTTTTCAAGTAAAAAGAAATTATTCAACATTATGATAAAATTTTAAACTTTTTAAAATAAAAATTTTAGTTAAAATCAATTTAAAAAAATATATTTCACGTTAAAAAATGTATTTTGCGACTTTAAAGTACTGTACAAAATGCAAAGGTAGCGTTTTTTGTGGGAATCCTGTCTATGTGTTATAGCTTGTATCGGGTGGGTGACACTATAAATGATCACCAGAAATTACATGTTACATGTACACTACATTTTAGATTTTCTGACATATTTCAAATGCAAAAATTTATATATACAGGTTGTTGCAGAAATCACCCACATATATTTTTTAATGGAACACCATGTATATTACACGCTTAATAAAATCCCATAAAAATTCTGCAGATTTTTTGTATAATATCTGCTATACTCAAATCCAATAGTTTTTGAGAGAAATCTGCGATTTTAATATAAATGAACATTCAAAAATAAAAGTAATATTTTCTTATATCTTTAAAAACTCTCCTTTCAGGCTTTCCGATATTTTTCTTACGGAAATATTGCGATGTTCTTCAACGTTTAGTAAACTCCTTAATCACTATATTTTTCTTATTCCAGTGTTCTCATATTTTTGGCTAGTTTAATTACACGAGGCAATTTAGCCCTCTTGTTTGCTTTAAGACACCTTTCCGAAATTAATTGTTTTTCTCTTTCAGAAAAATAAAATATAATAAAAAGAACGTAGGTTTTGCTAATTCTGTAACTGGTGAATGTCAGTTCTAAACAAACTTTTTTTTTTTGGTGACGACCTACTTCACACCCAAATATAAATTATAAATTCTAGAATATGATTTTACTTTTGAATGTTGAAATGTATTGGATATATAAAAATATATCTTGCAAATTACCTACGTTGCCAGGGCGAGTACAATGCTGTAGTCACAATGTAATTTCTGCATGTATTTATATCAGCTAATAAAAATTATATCAGCCAAAAAAATTTGCAATTTTTCGAACATTTAATGTAAACATGGTTTTTAATGTTCAGACGTTTTAAGTAAACGCAAAAATGTGTTTCCTACGCATATATCTTGTGCGTGTATAACTAAAAGCGAGAGAAATGGAGATGTACTGAATAAAATTCAATATACTAATTACATAAATTTTTTTATTCTCTAAAATTATTTTTTCTGCAATTGTACATTTAGGGCCAATCTAAGTTTCATTGAAATTCTATTTGTTTGTTTGTTTATTTGATTGTTCTTTAATTTTCCTGCTTGAATCCAGTAATAATATTGTGGAGACGAAATTTTTCATCTGCAAACACTAGACTTGCGAAGATGGAATTAGCTTTCTGTCTAGGATGCTTGGATTTTTCTAAAGAAGCCAAAGCCAAAGGCTTCTTGAACACTGTTTCCGTTTAGATTTTTCCTTTATATTTAGTATCCGATAGTTTTGAAAAACTGCAACTAAATGATCTCCTTTAATAAAGTATCTATTCCAAATACATATTAAATAATATATAATAAATCTTTGACCGTGGTCCAATGTTGCTGTTGTATTTGGTTAGTTTCTGTGATTCTGTTGGCATAGAGCATGCACGTATTTTTAAAAATACGTACATGGGAGAAAGTGCAACTTGGCAACACCGGACTTCAGTCAAACATTCACAAACATCCGGGTTGGTCAGCCACTCTGCTATTACCATAAATAACTATTTATCGACGAAGAAGAGTGAGGTTAGGACGTCCTAGGAACAGGGTTAAAAAATAGCAATAAACACGACGACGGTATTTGGGTGGGGGTCGCCATCGTTTTCGTCGCCGAATTTTTTGAATTTTTCCGCGACGACCACGCGACCACAGTACTCGTAGTAGTGGGAACACTAGCGTCGCATTTAATTGTTATTACGGATCCCGGCGCAGTATCGTATCGTCCGACCGGCAGATATTTTTATGTAGTCGCCCGCTTTAGCTGAGATTGCTGTTTGTTTTCTTTTCGCGGCGTTTTGACGTTTTCCCGGCACTTATTACGTGAACAGTGGTCTTTGGAAGTGTGGTTTGATCTGGAGGTGAGTCACGCTGAAGTGAGAGATTCTGACGTCATCGATCCCTCTGAGGATCGCGTTGTTCATATTTTCACTCCATGTTCTAAACCAATGCCGTTCAATAAGTCCAACTACATAATCGCCTCTCAGCTCTATAAATTTGTCAAAGCGTTTTCGATTTTTTTAAGCCGTCTAAAAATTAGCTAACAAGCTAAGAAGAAGTTCCTTAAAATGCATAGGTATTTGTTATGAGCTATTACTTGGTCTGTAGACGTAAACCTTTTCCGCAAGTTTGAAACCAAGAAATAGTCAATGGGGGCCAAATCTGGTGAATAAAATTTAATTTCATAATTTTGGTCATTGCCACCGAGCAGGTGTGCACCTTGACGAAACAGGATCTTTTTCAGAAAAGGACGTTTTCCCAAATAATCAATGTAGGTGATTCCCAAAAGACCGTGACCATAACCTTACCGGCCGACTTGACCGTATCGCCTTCTTGGGGGCCCGTTCGCCTTCAAAGACCCACTGTTTTGACTGTTCTTTTGTCTCTCGAGTGTAGTCAAAACAGCCTCAGAGTCGACCACACGATTGCGTTTAAGTTTCTCTATACCGCGAGCAAACGCGACACCCGAGCTTTTCTTCACACTCAAATTTTAAACTTGCGATAAACCTGTGGCCCCAACAACGTATAATTTGCCAATCATTTTATACAGCTGGAACTTTAACAACTGAGTGG